GGTAAGGTTATGGTCCTCTACCAATCAACGCTGTGCAGAAAATCTTGCAGGGTGGGTGAAGCAGAAAGTAAGTGATTCTTTCAATGCTGGAAAACATTTGCGGGTGGAAGATTGAAGGGTTATTGCAGTTGAAAACTAAGTCCTATTTTAATGAGAGTTCAAGGAAATATTTGCAGAGTTCTTCAGCCTCAAAGAAAACCAAATAAGCTTTTCTTTCTCCTTTTAATTCTTCTTTGTGGCACTCATTCTTTATCTGTTTTTTTTCCAAACTCAAATGTTGATGGAGTAAATTTGAGACCTATCATTAGGATGTCTTTAATTATAGATTTGTATGTTTTGTTGGATCAGATTTTGTACACCATTAGTAGAAAATTATTAATTTCATAGAGGTTCAAGGTAGCTTTTTGGTGGTGCTCTTTTTTTTGTCCCCTGAAATGCTTTATAGATGGGTCTTAGTTTTTGTATTGATGATTCTTGTTGTCATCTTAATGCAATATTTTAATGTAACATAAAATGTGTGTACTCCTCTAATGGAGTGTAAGGAAAGTCAAACAGTTATTAATGCAGGATAAGAATGGATAAGAATTCATTTAGCGGAGTTCTTGAGGCAGAATTTTAAAGCTACTGTGTGACCAGACGAGAATTCATCCTTTTGCAGTTCTGTTTCACCATTTTGATGAGTAGTAATGCATTAGATTTTCGTAATAATGGAAATACTCCTCAACAATGGAATGAGTTTACAGACTTGAGTCAAAACGTATATTGTATGTCATCTACAAGAAAAAATAATTTTCAACTTTACTGAGTCTTATTTTAGTAAGGTTTACTTATAGCTCCCGCAGAAGTCACTAGAAAGAATGCTCACACCACTTGTGACTGGCCGCCAACTGGATTTAGCTCCATTCGCCACAACTCTTTGGGCTCAGCTTTCCAGCCAGTGTTTTACCCAGCAAAGAGTATGCCCGTCCAAGTCATGAGCAGCCAGTTTCTCCAGAAAACTGCGTCAAAGCCTTTACTAAAGTCCAGGTAGACAATATCCACAGCCTTTCCCTTATCTATTAAGCAGGTGACCTTGTCATAAAAGGAGATGAGGTTAGTCAAGCAGGACCTGTCTTTCATAAACCCGTGCTGACTGGGCCTGATCACCTAGTTGTCCTGTATGTGCTGTGTGATGACACTCAAGATGATCTGCTCCATAACCTTCCCTGCCACCAAGGTCAGGCTGACAGGCCTGTAGTTCCCTGGGTCCTCCTTCCAGTCCTTCCTGTAGAAGCCCCAATTCCTACATGACCATTCTCAGGCACGTCCGTGGTTTCTTAATGCATCAGTAACCCTTGTCTTTGCTGCCACATGGATCTCCATCCCCTATATTCAGAACTACCAGGTAGCTTGTACTTCCTTTTGTCTTGGTCTGTGTTAATTTATATTGTAAGATTCAAATTCATATAAGCAATTTGCTCTTGACACCCAGAAATGATGCTTTGAGAATGCATGTGAGTGACTAAATTGTAGTGGTTAAAAACTAAAATAAAATTGGATGCAAAAAATAAAATAAAAATTGGGTATGAAGATGTCTTTAAGATCGTTCAAAACTCATTGCTTGTAGAAGGTAGCTGTTGAAAATGCCACTTCTGCTGTGAAAGTAAAAAACAAAAGGGATGATAATCAGTCTGATTGGAGGTGCTCATGTTTTATCCTTCTTGCATATGGTGATGTGAAGGTAAATCTATTACCTGAGATAATCCTTTAAAGGACTGGAGGAACTATGAAGGAACTGCGCCCATCCTGTCTTATATAAATAACAATAGATGAAGTAAAGTTGCTTGTACACAGCTTGGCAAATAAGGAAACTGAGGAAGATGAAAGCTGGGACTTTTTGCAGTTGTTCTCTAGCACACAGTGAAGTACCATGCTCAACTTTCCACCTTTAGGAAGATTTTAAGCAGAAGCTTCTGGCTGGAAGGGGAAAAGGAAACGAAATATAAAAATTTTAAGTGAAGTAACTGTACGTAAAATGTTTCCAATACAAATAAAATCCCAATAATTTGTTATATAAAACTGTGCTTCCAAATAGAGTATTCATATAATGCATACTCCAGAATGGATTTTTAGGGAAGGAAAGTTATTTCTTTGTTTTTATATTTCACTCATTACTTAACTGTGGTCATCACCCATAGTAACTTCGCATCCCAGCATGTAGCTGTGTACTCATTATTGATTTCAGTCCGTTGTTTGCCACAAAAAAAAAATTTAAAAAAAATTGGAAGATGAAGACAGCAGCACTTTCTGACCCAGAGTTGAGGTTGTGAGAAAGATTTGTTCAGCACCGCAAGAGGAACTATGCAGCAGATTTGGTAACAAGGAGAAGGTATCCACTACCTGAAAATGCTTATATAACTGCTAGGCCATCTTTTTCCAGTAGTCACAGGATGCTGTCTACTTATTACTTTTCTTCTGTTCTCAAGTTCTGCCAGTCCTGTCCAAAATAAATCTAACATGATGAACAGAAAAGTCACAGAATTGGAGTCTAGGAGGGGAGAGCTCTGCAACCTTACAATATGCAACTTAGATGCAGTTTCTTTCCTTTTAAACCAAGTTATCTCTGGATCAGGTGTCTCTGCACATCTGGAGAGACACAACCAGCCTTTCGGGTTAGAAGGTCCAGAAATCACCTGGATGTCTCTAGACCAGAATAACATCATGAACTCAGTATACAACAGAATTGGTGTAATACAGGACGTAAATGGGGAATCTGTACTACTATTCACTTAAGAAACATTCTACTTTACCTTGAAATGTATATAATGTATCCATTGCCTAATTAAAAGATTTCAAAGGCATGGATTACATAACAGCATCACCATCAGGAGGATCATCAAAGGCAGATAACAGAAGATTTTAAACACAAGAGACCAGAGAATTCAGGTATTGCTATGGATTGTGAACCTTATGAGAAAATAGTAAATTCTTTAAATTAGGGACCTAATGAAATTGTATAGTAAGGGTCTTTCTGACTTTGATGAGGGTTGATGTAGACACAAGAAGCAAATCTGTTAAGTAAAGACTAGTCCATAATTACATAGATTCAAAATGGAAACCCACTTACCACGATGTTTATCTTTTCAGTTTTTATATATTTTAGGCCCAGAAACCTTTGAGTGCTTAATCTATTTTTCAGTTGTATTTATTTACAAATTAATAATGATTATCATTAGAAATTAATATACTCAGTGAATAATATCAGGAAATAAGGATGGGTGATCAAAAGGTGCTCAGTACTGCTAATATGTTGCATCAATTTGTGTCATTGTCACTCTCCAGAGGAAATCTTGCAATGAAAGGAACTTAGCGTGTGCAGCAAAAACTTTAAGTTACTTGCCAGTAGGGCAGATATGCTTTAGTTTTATTGACTCAGTGCATTTCTGGTTGGTTGGTTGGACAGCTGGGCAGGAGCAGAGGGCATGAGCCACTGCCACCTGGCTCTTTAGTCAGGGGTCTGTGTTGTCATGCATGTGACATGAGTGTTATGAACTGACATAAATCTTAACTGCTAAATTCACAAATAGTATGAATCCAAAAGTAGCATTGCCTGGAGTTGATGTATTTGAAGAACTCGAGTTATTTGCAGATGAATTAGTTTTTGCTTGAATCTACTTTAAAAACTAAAATAAAAATCAGTGGCATGTGTGAGTTACTGAGTTACTGTTGTAGAAATTTTTAAAAACTATAAAAAGGCAAGTAGAGTGGTACTGTGGTAATTTCTTTGGTTTTGCAAACGTGAGCAGAACCTCGCCTCATATGTACAGATCTCCTTGCGTGAAGTGTATGAAGGCAGGGTGACTGGTTCCCTGCTTTAGCATTCACTATTTCCACAGTGGTCAAAGGCTTCTTAAAAGGCCGCTGTGTTGAGATGATGACATCACTCTCTGGATCACTGGGAGAGTTCACATCCTGTGTCTTATGGTGTATCTTTTCTTGGCCTTGTCTACTTTTATTTTGAACTGGTGGTGACAAAAGAGCACAGCCACCGCTTTCCTTCTACTGATCCTGGCACCTGATGTATCTACTCAGTTGCATAATTTTTTTTGTTATGGATGATGGTGTTTGATTATGTTAGGAGAGAAAAGATTCTCCTTATACTGTGACTTCACGTATTTGTGCGATTTTGAACCGAATGACTTAGAGTGCATGCCTGTACTGACCAAATTTAGACTGCATGCCAAGTTTAGACTTGTGCTTGTAGCATAGTGTTAAAAATAAGCAAAACAAATTCAGAAATGCTAGAAATAAATGTCATGTTGTCCCTTCCCACTGAAGTGGAACCCTTTTTTTGAAACTTAAAGTGAAGAAGAAATCAATGGCTTCTATGCCAGTCATTGGAAGGATGATTTTTCCCTTTCCTTTAACAACCTTCTATACACACATGTTTTCCCATACATTACCACAGTTGTCTAGAGAATATAATAATTCATCAGAATCCATTTTCAATAGTGTTTTTTCTTTT